AAAAATTGTGTTTACAATCATCATAGAGACTTAAATTGGGCCAAAGTGGACATTCAGCACTAAATCAGTGCTTCTAAAACTTGAATGCACATACAAATCACCTGGAAATCTTGTGAAAATGACAATTCTCATCCAGTAAGTGCCAGGTTGGGCCTGTGACTCTGCATTTCTAATCAAGTGTTGCCACGTCTGCTGGGTCCATATACTAAAGAGTAGTAAAGCTTAGAACAAAATTCTATTTTTCTCTTTCCTTCTATCTCTAAATTCTCTCATTCGTTTGCTTTTTTCTTTTCTTGCTTCACCCTTTTTGATGCTTTAAGTCTGTCATGATAACTATTTAGCCCTTGGAGTTATAAAGGCTTTCCAAACAATAACATAAGCTATAAAACACAATGCAGAAAGACAAAAATAAAACAACAGTCAAACTTTCTCAAAATGTGATCAAAACAATGCAATCAACATAGAGGACATATTTTTTTTAGGATGTGCACTTATTTGTATATTTCTTAGCAACCAAATAGTTTCCTTAGGAATATGGTTCAAAAAATCTTAAGTTTTCTAATAGGAAGGAAGAATGTGTTATTAATGTTAAGATTCAACAGCATTCAATAAATGAGCTGCTAATTATGAACAGAATGATTGTGCTTAAACTGATCCTTATACCTATTAATGTCTTTTTTAGTCTACTCTGAAATTAGAGAAATTCTGCTCCCAAGTATGCCTGGTCAAGAGATGAGCTTTCTAATGAACTACTATTGGAACTATATATGCCTTAGAATCTTATATAAATTTCACTTACAGTGGCATTATACCAGATTGTATCAAATAGCTCATAACTGTCATAGGATTTAGCATGAGTCCTTTAAAATAATAACTGCAAGCATTCAGATGGTAACAGAAATGTTGTTCTTACAAAAGACTGTGCTCCTAATCAAGAAGAAGGAATCTCATTTTACAGTAGGGAAATTTGAAGCATATCCAGGATATGCAACCAGGTGAGCACAGTGCAAACAGAATATGAAACTTCTAGTTTTAAAACCTATCTTAAAATCATTATATACTACAGGTCAAACATTGTTAAACTTCCTTTTAGGTTCAGGAGCCAATTCTTTCAATCAAATTTATGCAAAATAGCTGGCTTCTCAGTAACACTGAGAACTATAATCTCTGTGTAATATTAGTCTCTTGCCAATATAAGGAGCAGCAATGTAAATGGAATCCATTTCTGTGGTGTAGATTTCTCCCAGGGAAACTGAAGCAGGTAGTTTCCAACTCCATCAAACCGGACAACAGTGCCTTCTAGTGGCCAAAGGAGAGTATAATCAGGAATGTCTTTGGGGCTCTAAATTAAAACTTAAATACCTAAAATGTCGGCCAAGAAGAGCTACCTCACGCCCAAGGTCAGGGACCACGCCCAAGAGGAGCTACCCCACGCCCGAGGTCAGGGGCAGCTGAGAGGAGCAACCCCACCTCCAAGGAGCAGCTGCTGCACAGGCACAGGAGGGCTGAGAGGAGCTACTCCACGTTCAAGGTCAGGAGGGGCAGCGGTAAGAAAATACCCCTCGTCCAAGGTAAGGAGCAGCGGCTGCGCTTTGCTGGAGCAGCCGTGAAGAGATACCCCACGTCAAAGGTAAGAGAAACCCAAGTAAGACGGTAGGTGTTGCAAGAGGGCATCAGAGGGCAGACACACTAAAGCCATAATCACAGAAAATTAGCCAATCTGATCACAGGACCACAGTCGTGTCTAACTCAATGAAACTAAGCCACGCCGTATGGGGCCACCCAAGACAATCGGGTCATGGTGGAGAGGTCTGACAGAATGTGGTCCACTGGAGAAGGGAATGGCAAGCCACTTCAGTATTCTTGCCTTGAGAACCCCATGAACAGTATGAGAACGCAAAATGATGGGATACTGAAAGATGAACTCCCCAGGTCGGTAGGTGCCCAATATGCTACTGGTGATCAGTGGAGAAATAACTCCAGAAAGAATGAAGGGATGGAGCCAAAGCAAAAACAAAACAGTTGTGGATGTGACTGGTGATAGAAGCAAGGTCCGATGATGTAAAGAGCAATACTGCACACGAACCTGGAATGTTAAGTCCATGAATCAAATTGGAAGTGGTCAAACAGGAGATGGCAAGAGTGAATGTCGACATTCTAGGAATCAGCGAACTAAAATGGACTGGAATGGGTGAATTTAACTCAGATGACCATTGTATCTACTACTGTGGGCAGGAATACCTTAGAAGAAATGGAGTAGCCATCATGGTCAACAAAAGAGTCTGAAATGCAGTACTTGGATGCAATCTCAAAAACGACAGAATGATCTCTGTTCATTTCCAGGGCAAACCATTCATTATCACAGTAATCCAAGCCTATGCCCCAATCAGTAAAGCTGAAGAAGTTGAAGTTAAACGGTTCTATGAAGACCTACAAGACCTTTTAGAACTAACACCCAAAAAAGATGTCCTTCTCATTACAGGGGACTGGAATGCAAAAGTAGGAAGTCAAGAAACACCTGGAGTAACAGGCAAATTTGGCCTTGGAGTACGGAATGAAGAAGGGCAAAGGCTAATAGAGTTTTGCCAAAAGAATGCACTGGTCATGGCAAACACCCTCTTCCAACAACATAAGAGAAGACTCTACACATGGACATCACCAGATGGTCGACACCGAAATCAGATTGATTATATTCTTTGTAGCCAAAGATGGAGAAGCTCTGTACAGTCAGCAAAAACAAGACCGGGAGCTGACTGTGGCTCAGATCATGAACTCCTTATTGACAAATTCAGACTTAAACTGAAGAAAGTAGGGGAAACCACTAGATCATTCAGGTATGACCTAAATCAAATCCCTTATGAATATACAGTGGAAGTGAGAAATAGATTTAAGGGACTAGATCTGATAGACAGAGAGCCTGATGAACTATGGACGGAGGTTCGCGACACTGTACAGGAGACGGGGATCAACACCATCCCCATGGAAAAGAAATGCAAAAAGGCAGAATGGCTGTCTGAGAAGGCCTTACAAATAGCTGTGAAAAGAAGAGAAGTAAAAGGCAAAGGAGAAAAGGAAAGATATTCCCATTTGAATGCAGAGTTCCAAAGAATAGCCAGGAGAGATAAGAAAGCCTTCCTCAGTGATCAATGCAAAGAAATAGAGGAAGACAACAGAATGGGAAAGACTAGAGATCTCTTCAAGAAAATTAGAGATACCAAGGGAACATTTCATGCAAAGATGGGCACAATAAAGGACAGAAATGGTATGGACTAACAGAAGCAGAAGATATTAAGAAGAGGTGGCAAGAATAAACAGAAGAACTGTACAACAAAGATCTTCAAAACCCAGATAATCACAATGGTGTGATCACTCACCTAGAGCGAGACATCCTGGAATGTGAACCCAAGTGGGCCTTAGGAAGCATCACTAGGAACAAAGCTAGTGGATGTGATGGAATTCCAGTTGAACTGTTTCAAATCCTGAAAGATGATGCTGTGAAAGTGCTGCACTCAATATGCCAGCAAATTTGGAAAACTGAGCAGTGGCCACAGGACTGGAAAAGGTCAGTTTTCATTCCAATCCCTAAGAAAGGCAATCCCAAAGAATGCTCAAAGTACTGCACAATTGCACTCATCTCACACGCTAGTAACGTAATGTTCAAAATTCTCCAAGCCAGGCTTCAGCAATATGTGAACCGCGAAATTCCAGATGTTTAAGCTGGTTTTAGAAAAGGCAGAGGAACCACAGATCAAATTGCCAACATCCACTGGATCATAGAAAAAGCAAGAGAGTTCCAGAAAAACATTTATTTCTGCTTGATTGACTACACCAAAGCCTTCAACTGTGTGGATCACAATAAACTGTGGAAAATTCTGAAAGAGATGGGAATACCAGACCACCTGACCTGCCTCTTGAGAAACCTGTATGCAGGTCAGGAAGCAACAGTTAGGACTGGACATGGAACAATAGACTTTTTCCTAATAGGAAAAGGAGTATGTCAAGGCTGTTATTGTCACCATGCTTATTTAACTTATACACAGAGTACATCATGAGAAATGCTGGGCTGGAAGAAGCACAAGCTGGAATCAAGATTGCCGGGAAAAATATCAATAACCTCAGATATGCAGATGACACCACCCTTATGGCTAAAAGTGAAGATGAAATAAAAAGCCTCTTGATGAAAGTGAAAGAGGAGAGTGAAAAAGTTGGCTTAAAGCTCAACATTCAGAAAACTAAGATCATGGCATCTGGTCCCATCACTTCATGGCAAATAGGTGGGGAGACAGTGGAAATAGTGTCAGACTTTATTTTGGGGGGCTCCAAAATCACTGCAGATGGTGACTGCAGCCATGAAATTACAAGACGCTTACTCCTTGGAAGGAAAGTTATGACCAAACTAGACAGCATATTAAAAAGCAGAGACATTACTTTGCCAACAAAGGTCTGTCTGGTCAAGGCTATGGTTTTTCCAGTGGTCATGTATGGATGTGAGAGTTGGACTGTGAGGAAAGGTGAGTGCCGAAAAATTGATGCTTTTGATCTATGGTATTGGAGAAGACTCTTGAGAGTCCCTTGGACTGCAAGGAGATCCAATCAGTCCATCCTAAAGGAGATCAGCCCTGGGTGTTCCTTGGAAGGACTGATGCTGAAGCTGAAACTCCAATACTTTGGCCACCTCATGAGAAGAGTTGACTCATTGGGAAAGACCCTGATGCTGGGAGGGATTGGGGGCAGGAGGAGAAGGGGACGACAGAGCATGAGATGGCCGGATGCCATCAACGACATGGGCATGAGTTTGAGCAAACTCCGGGAGTTGGTGATGGACAGGAAGGCCTGGTGTGCTGCAATTCATGGCATCACAAAGAGTTGGACACGACTGAGCAACTGAACTGAACTGAACAAGAAAATATTATAAATATTATAAGTTATAAGAATTGCTACAGAGAAAGAAATCTTGAATTTAAGGTTAAAATGAAGATATAAGAAAGAAAATAAATTACCATAAAAAGCTTCAGTCACCACTCCAGTTATATATATTTGGCCCTTGTTCTTTAGCTGACACTATATCACTCTCATCCACAAGTGGAGTAGGATTTTCTCTAATTCTTCCTTAACCCAGCGGCAAAACTTGAATTCCTTTCGTTTATTACCTGGAAACAAGTATCAAACAATTTAAATTACTTACTGAGAAATGTTCATTTTAAAAAGAAAACAATAAAAGCTCAAAATACACAAATTATTGTGAAAAGGACAATATTTAAGCTTTTAGAAAACAGTAATTAATATTTTTGCTTCTGCAGTTCATATATTCATACACACATCACATATTTTCCAACCACAACTATTTATTAGGTAATTTAGTTTGTACTAGGGATTCAAAAATGAGTAAAACACAAAGTCCTTAGCCTCTAGAAGTTCAGTCAGCTAGAGTAACAATTAGACAGTAAAAAGAAAAATAATAATAATAATAAATACAATGTAATGAGAGTAACCATTGGTTCAACCTCTTTGGAGAATAATTTGCAATGCAATTGGGTTTAAAATGGGTATAGATGTACTACAATTCATCAATTTAATGTACACATGAGGTCAACAAAGTTTCTAATACAAAGAAAGTGGAAACATTCTTATTGTCCATTGGTAAGGAACCTGGTAAATTAACTCTGATATATACAAACAATGAAAGAAATAAAATAAATTAATCCAGTATCTCAACCAGGCACTGGCCTCAATGTATAGAGTGCTTATGTGCACATGCTAGCCATGTCCTACTCTTTTGCAACCCCATGGACTGTAGACTGCCAGGCCCCTCTGTCCATGGGATTTTCCAGGCAAGAATACTGGAGTGGATTGCCATTTCCAACTCCAGGGTATCTTCCCAACCCAGGGATTGAACCAGTGTCTCCTGCGTCTCCTGCATTGGCAGGCAGATTCTTGACCACAAGCACCACCTCAGTGCTTAGGGAAAAGATTATATCCATTGCAAGATATGGGCCCATGAGGTGGTCACTCATGAAAGCAGTCACTATGGAGCTAAAAAAAGAGAGAAAAGTGAGGTGAAGTGGCATCTATTATAAGAGCACAAAGCTCACCAGGACTCTTAAATACCACTGCCACTACTGCAGCCACCACCTATGCCTCTTTGAGCAAAAATGCTGATCCTCAGGGTTACAGTGAAAAGCACTCACAGAACCCACATAGCACAGCAAAGGGTAATTCAAACTTAACTTACATGGGTGGGAGGGAGGCAGAAGAGAGAGGGGATACATGTATACATATAGCTGATTCACAGGTGTTCTACAGCAGAAACTAGCAAAACTAACACAACATTGTAAAGCAATTATATTCCTATTTAAAGAAAAAAAACAAACCTGAGCTCTGACCTAAAAAATAAAAAACTTAAGCTTGAGTTTCCTAAATTCTATGAAGTAAACACTGCCAGGGGTGAAGCCCCAAACCCTAGTGATACTGATTTGAGGTTCTCTGGAAGAAGAAATTTATAAATATAAAAAGATAGAAAGGACCTCCTCTACCCAACGTACATTCTCTAACCACCAAAAAAAGAGAAAGAGAGAAACACAGCTGTATACAGAAGAAGAAACAAGTAAACAAAAAAAGTGAAACAAGTCCACAATTTGACTCAGTTGGAAATCCAAAATGTATTAAAATAATTTATACAACAAAATTCTACATCACAGCGTTTTAAATATATACGACTATTTTTTATTGAAACATAGTTATTTTACATTATTGTGTCAGTTTCAGGTATAAGGCAAAATGATTCAGTTATATATCTATATTCTTTTTCAGATGCCTTTCCATTATTGGCTATTATAAAATACTGAATAAAGTTCCCTGTGCTATACTGTAGATCCTTTTTGTTTGTCAATTTTATATACAGCAGCATGCATATCCCAACCTCTTAATTTATCTCTTCCTACCTCCCCACCCTGCTCTCCTCTTTGGTAACCATAAGGTTGTTTTCTATTTCTGTAAGTCTATTCCTGTTTTGTAAATAAATTCATTTATTTTTTTTAGATTCTACATATAAGTGACATTGTATGATTTTTGTCTTTTTCTGTCTGATTTCCTTTAATATGATGATCTCTAGGTACATCCATGTTGCTGCAAATGGCATTGTTTCATTCTTTTCTATGTCTGAGAAGTACATTGTGTACATGTACCACCTCTTCCTTATCCATTTATCTGTCAATGGACATTTAAGATGTTTCCGTGTCTTGGCTATTATAAATAGTGCTGCTATGAACACTGGGGTGCCTGTATCTTTTCGAATTAGAGTTTTCTCCAGATATAGGCCCACGAGTGGGATTTACAGCATAGGTTTTGAATGAACTTCAACACCTGCTAAAATGCACTGACTGGCAAATATTCATGGCTTTAGTCAATACTGGGCTCAAACTACAGTTATCCCTGAAGACTTAAAGAACTAAATCTAAACAAGCTACTCTCTATAATCTTAGGGAAATACTCAACATTAAATGGGCAACAAATATGTATGTCTCACCTTAACTACCAGAACTACCTTGCCTAAATTCTCCCTGATCACGGAACACATTGTCCTAAAATATCATGCAGTGGCAAAGGATGCTCTGATCCAATGAGTAATAAATCTAAATGAAGTCTTTGGAGCTTGCAAAATGGCTTTTATAAAGGTGAGACCCTCTGTACTGCCCTCAACTCTAGTTAAAACAGTTAACATAGCTCAATGTAAAATAAAACAAGGCCTTCAAAGATTGAGATTTATTATATAAGACCCAATTAGTGAAAGAGTAATTATCTTTATTGTTTCTCCACTTAGTAGCCCAGTGTGGCCTGGTAAAGATGGAGTGAAGAATAGGGCCTCACAGTTGATGAGTGTGTCTCTGACGCCATGGCCCTACCCATGAAGGTCCCTCTGTCCAATACTATTAAAATTACTGACACCATTCAATCAGAAACTGATAAATATTCTGATGCTGTAAGTTTGATAAGCATGTTCTGTTCAGTGACCTCTTGGTCACAGTTTGCCTTCACCTCCAGAGGGTCACGATATACCTTTACCTGGCTACACACAGGGTATCTCAAAAGCCTTGCCACTCCATACAGCCTTTACAGGTAACTGTTTCCAGGTCTCTCCAGGAGCACAGGATTGATGTTACATTCTCCTCTAAGGTCATTCTTTTGACACACTCCTTCAGGACATACAAACACTCATGAAAAGAAGATGGGCCATTGTTCCACACTCAGTATAAGGCCTGCTACTTTGGTTAAATTCCTGAAAACTATTTGGTAAACCAAGGGCAACTCCATCCCTGATAATGTCAAGAAATATTAAAACAAGTCCAACAGGGAACTATATTCAATATCCTGTGATAAATCATAATGGAAAAGAGTATAAAAAATGTGTAACTGAATCACTTTGCTGTACAGCAGAAATTAACACAACACTGTAAATCAAATATACTTGAATAAAATAAGTTAAAATAAAAAAAAACACACACACAAATCCAACATCTTTTAGGTCCTTTTGGATTCTGGAGGTGATATATTAGTTGTTCACAAATTCTACTTAAGCCTGTTTATGCTGTTACTTCAGGTCAGTCCACCCTGAACAGGGCCCCCTCCCAAAAAAGATTCTGAAAGTTGTCAAAATTATAATACAATAGACACTCCTAGTAGTGCTACTTCCTCCCCCAAACCACCCCCAAACAAACACACAAGCACATAATACACATACAAAGAATCCTTCACTGTAGATACTTTAGCAGCCTCTCTTCATGACTCCTGGAGATTCTGAGCCACTCATAATGCCTCTAAGTTGTCCACAGGCTTCTAATGCAACAAATTATCTCCTTACCCCTACACAATATGTCATTTGAACAGCAATGACTGATAGCACACTGGATCCCCCTAGAAGCAGAGGCTCTCGTAAGCTCTGAGCCTACCCTCCATATCGAGCTGCCCATCCTGGCAGCAGGACCTTTCAAGCTCAGCACAGCCAGCAAGGTCTCCTTGCTGCAGGACAGAATCAAATCTGGGCCTTCCAACATATCCCACCTACTGGCGGGCATGGCCTCCCCTGTTCTCACTCCTTTGTCATTTGTCATGAGACAAGAAGAAGTCACCCCTCTCTCACACCCTTTGAATACCTGGAGACCAATTTGGATTCAACTGAGTGAAAAGCTGTAGGAGCTCAACACTTTAAACTCCTATTGTTAGTCTGATGGACAATCCTGCTGTTTGGTGGACAGCATCAATATCCCTCCACATGCTGGAGCTCACTGGAGACCACTGCTTTTCATCCTTTAACCAGGATGTCCCTAATGAAGGAAAGGACCCAGAGGTCAGCAAAACTGACTAAAATGCCCACAGTTATCTTAACCCTGAATGCTTCGGCCAACAACTGGCTTTATCTGTGCATTTTTACAGACTCTTGGGCCATACCTAACAGTGGCACCACTTGGAATAAAGAACTCTCTTGTTTTCAGATACTCAAAATATAAATCAAGGTCACAAGTGTCGCTACATACAATAAAGCCACAATAAAAGGCCTGGCCAGAACACTCTTTATCCCCATCAAGAGTTCCAGACATTCCTAACAGTGGCCAAGGTACTTGTTTTATTCCTCAAAACACATATCATTGGACTTCTGAACAAGGTATTCAGTGGCACTTTTATTTTCCTTACTGACTTCAGTCTCTAGGCCTCATACAAGAGCCAGGATGGCTTACTTAAGTTCAACTAAGTGAAAAATGGTACATTTCAGTCATCAGTCAGACATCAAGTGTAAATTATAATGAGTCTCATTCAATTTTTTGATGTTTGCCTGATGACAGTTTTAAACTTCACCCCTTCTCCTCCCTGTCTCTCAAATGGGCAAGTTGGTTAAGAAAAAAAAGTCTGGGTGTCCTTTCCTTTGGTGTGGATGCCAGAGTCAAACAAAGCAACAATCTGTCCACACGCAGGAACCCTTGACCCCACCCGCTAACCACTGCAAAAGCCC